AAGAAATTATAATATTGATTTTCCACAGAATTTAGAAAAAAAAAATGTTCCTTTTTCCTCTAATCAAGGAGGAGGGGTGGGAGGAAGTTTTTGCACCTGTAACTAATACATACTAATATTGAATATATACTACAAATGAAAAATTAAATTAAAAAAAAAACACCCTTTTACCAGAACACTTTTCCTCTTTCCTATACCCACCAGTCTTCCTTTCTTTCCATAAACACTCACTTTCCACCACCCCAATCCTACCAGTCCCCCATCATCTTCACCCTTCCCCATAAAGTCTGAAAGTTGACAGTATATCTTTGGGTTTGAGTGTGCATGTGCACTTTAGGCTAATTTATACTGCAGAAACCACAACGTTCAAAAATTAGTGAGAAGATCAGAGCTAGAAAAAAACACAGTAGCCAGATGTGTCTGCCATGAACTCACCACATAAAATTGAGAAGGAAAAAACACAGGAAAAAGAAATAAATATCCTACATAAAAACCTTCCACATACTTTAAGCAATGCCAGGCTATTTTATTTGTTTTTGATAAAACTGTTATGTGTCTCTGTATACTTCCTAAAGAGAAGAATGAGCCAACTTAGCAAATGGGCACAGACAATTTTCTTTCCATCTTGTCTTGAAAAGTATGCCTTACAAAAAAACACACAACCAAAAAAACATGCATATATTTGTAATTTGAAGTACATAAGAAGATAGGCCTGAAGGACATCAACTCTGGCCTAGGGGATGACACACCTTCAAAGAGAGGAAATGTGTGAGCACACACATGATTTTTTTAAAATTCCAATAACTTAAAAAAAAAAACATGTTGGCTGCACTTAACCAAAAGTCTCTAAACTGGCTAGAGATGGCCATCTGGTGAAAGTTTTATACAATCTTTATTTTTTGTCCTGTCTAGGAGAACATTGGTGCCCCCAGCCAGGGCCTTACTTGAGCAAAGAGACCATTAACATGTGACAGGAGCCCAGCACATGATTTATGACTGCTAGGATTATCACCAAAAAGACAAAATTGTATGTGACTTTTCTTGGCAAAAAGATAAAGGTTTTTTTTAAGATTTAAAAAAAAATTGATTTGTTTATTTTTGTTTTCAAAAACGAGGAGGGAGGGAGGGAGAGAGGGAGGGAGAGAGAGAGAGAGAGAAATATTTATGTGAGAACAAAACATTGATAGGCTGCCTCCTGCACACCCCATACTGGATATAGAACTGCAACCCAGGCATTTGTCCTGATCTGGAATCAAACTCACAAGCCTTCACTGCACATGATGATGCTCAATCAACTGAGCCATTATTGTCAAGACTTGGCAAAAACATTTTAAAACATGGGGATGTGTTGTCCCAGCCAAGTTAGTAATGGGTAGAATTCAAATTCTGACAGTCTGACCCCCAACTTCATGTACCCAACTTACAGAAAAAAAAATTGTTGAGAAATTTATTTATCTATATCACTGATTATATCACAACTAGAGAAATATATAAAATTAGCTATGAATGGTACGAATTCTATCATCTGATAGTAATATTATTAACTGTATTTCTACATCATTTTCACACATAAATACCTCCTAGTGAAGGGATGTGTCATTTGTTATCTTATTTCCATTTGTCAGCTATATTCCATGAAAAGATCAAACTTCTAGATTCAAGGAGGAGGAAGAGAAGGAGGTAAAGGAGGAGGGGGAGAGGGAGGATATGTTCTGTTCAAAAGGTAAAAGAAAAAAAATGCAGTTGATGTAAAACAGACATAAAATTTTGATTTTATGTTTCTATATGCTAATATATATGGCATAGGTTATATCTATATATAAAAAAGCCTAAGCGACTGAATAACTAAAGAATTGGTCGACTGGTCACTATGACATGCACTGACGTTCAACACAGGAGCTGCCCCCTGGTGGTCAGTGTGCTCCCATAACTGGAGCGCCATTCAGCTGACTGCCCTGCCCAGTCCTGGCAGCCCACCAGTCCGGCGGCAGCTCCTCACTCCCTCAGTAGTCCTGCAGGTCCAATCTCTGCAGAATGGGCCAGGCACATATGCTGACAGTGCCATCCGCCTCTGGGAAGTCAGCCTCAGGCACCAGGGCTGCTTCCCCTCCCTATGCTAACACAAGGAAGAAACAACATAAAAGCAGCTGCCAGGTGGCTCCAGACAAGTGGCATGAACATCAGCAGGACTGATCTGTATCCCAGGCTGGCAAGGGAGTCCCACCACCTCTAGACCAATCATGTTTCAGCTCCCCTGCGCCCTCCTCAGGTCAGGTGCCAGATACAGGGCTCATGACAGGCAAGTGCTGCTATAGCAGCACTAGCCTCTCCTGATCAGGACTGACTGTGTGCGAGCCTGTTACAGGTGCAGCGGGGCCAGGATGAGCGGGAGCAGCAGGCAGGAGTGGCAGGCGGAGTTGGACTGTGGGGTTTTGGCCTGATCCCCACAGGCCACCATAAGGGACCCCACCTGTGCATAAATTCACGCACCTCTAGTCCTATCTAATAAAGAGGGAATATGCTAATTGACCATTATGCCCTCACAAAGATGACAGCACCTACAGCCAATAAGGAGGAAATATGCTAATTGACTGTTAAACCCTCAAATATGGTGGTGCCCACAGCCACAAGATGGTGGCGCCCAGTCCCCTCAGCCTCGCTGGGGCAGCAGGCGCAGCATGGCTCGGCCCATCCCCAGGCGGGTCTGACTGCTCCACACGCCTGTCTCCAGAGTCCCCCAGTCTCCAAAGCCCCCCAGCTCCCAGGACCAGCCCAAAGCAAAGGCAAGCCTTGGGTCTCGGCTGACCCAAGGTGCAGGCAAGCATCGGATGTCAGCTGCCCAGCTGCCTAGGGCCAGCCCGAGGTACAGGCAAGCTTTAGATGCCAGCTGCCCAGCCATCCTGGGCTGCCCAAGGCTCAGGTAACCAGGGCTGGCCAAGGCTTGAGCTGCTAGCAGTGGCAGCAGCAGAGGTATGATGGGGGCATTGCCTTCCCCTGATCACCGGGGCGCCTCCTGCCCCTAAGGGGCTCCCGGACTGTGAGAGGGGGCAGGTTGGGTTGAGGGAGCCCTTCTCTCCTCCCCTCCTACTCCCTCCTACACCCCCCCCCCCGCTCCAAGTGCATGAATTTTCATGTACCAGGCCTCTAGTATAATATATAAAAACACTGATATAGACCTGTTATTCTAAATCTTAAAAGAGAGAGAAGGAAACAATCCGTTCTTTATATATTTAAAGATTGATAGCAAAGAACATAAACTACAGGCAGACCTATAGCTTGAAATAAAATGTTCTGAGCAAATAATTTTTTAAATTGTCCCAATCTTTGGTGTTTACTTTGCATTCCCCAGTATATTTCCATCTCCAGGACACATCTGTGATTCTCAATGGGCTAACAGCACACTTTGTAATGACAAATACTCAAATATTATTGGAAATCCCCAGAATGTGTGTCATGAGTAATTTATTACCCCAAAATATTAGAAATCTGGAAAGGTATTTTATTCAACCACAGGTAAACTTATTTCAGACATTCAGATTACAATTTCTTTAGATGTAGTTTATCATCAATTCAGATGTGTATGCGCACGCGTGCATGTGTATAGGCAATACCCCCTATTTATACAATTTTTTAAAATTAACTGCAGTGTTTAATGTATTAGTAACACACTAATATCTAAATATCTATCAGTTTGGGGGCTGAATTTTTCAACCAGGTCCATAAAAGATTTTTTTTCTATTATAGTGATTATAAAGTTAAGGTTAATATTTTATGATTGGCTTTTATAATATTCAATGAAAATTAAATTATTAAAGAAACCTTGAAAGTACTCTAATGTTACCTAATATGTGGTTTCTTTACTGCATTTGGATCTGCTTTCTATGTGAGCTTTTATATATTGGGAATAAATGACTCGGAAAGTTTTGGCTTGCCACTGCTGGTAGAAGCATTGATACCATTTTCCTTGATCTGCCTTTTAGACAAGTAACAGAACAGAAGTTATCCCAATTAATTTGCTTTTTGGATATATTTTATATCTGCAAGCTTTAAAATGGTAGGTCCAAACTTCCTGCAAGAACAGACTATATATTTACTTTTAGCTGACTTGGTTCTACTTAAGTTCATGCTCACTCTGGCTAAGCCAGGGTCTGGGGGCAGGGTGTCTAGCAAAAGGACTTCCATCCTGCCAATCCAGCAGGAACTTCTTTTTACTCCAAAGTTAACTGTTCTGTGTATAAAGCAGTATTAGACACTTGCTCTTAACTGGGTATGTTATCTGAAAATGGTACCATCTTTTAGGAAATTTTAAAACTGCCATCTTATTTTTAGCCTTTGGGGGAGGGGGAGAATGACTACAACAAAAGCTGATTAGTTCTGTTGCTATATATTAATTCACAACTGGTTATCTCTACTGGGCAGAATTTTAGTTTTTGAAGTAAAGGAAATTAGCAGAAGGTAAATTCTTCTCGAATATAAAATCATACTTAAACATTCTAAATGAAATGGCAAGTGAATCAATTATTCCAGAGCAGGTATAGAAGAAGCCACCTGCAGGACATATAATGATAGAATGCATTCTAAAACCAAACCAACCTTGATTCAACTCCAGCTTTGCTATCCAAAAGTGGTGTCTTTGAGCAAGTTTCCTATCTACAAAAAAAAAGAAGGGGTTCAAGAATTGTACCCTTTGGCAGTCTTCAAGGACCAAATTCACAGAAAGCGGCTACGTGCCCTCCTCCTTGCTTTGGTCTGGATGAAGACAAGAGGCCTGTGTGATTTTTCAAAGAACTTCAAGAAAGGAAGCTGGAAGAGAGGCCAGACCAGTAGTGTAAACCCTACCCTGGGGTCGACTGTAGCAAAGAGGACAAGTAAAGAAGGCAAAGGCAGGAAAAAATGCTCTCTCAGTGCACAAATGGGCACCACGGCAAGCAGAGCTGCTTCTGAACCCACAGCCCCGCGATGGAACACCGCGTTCAACTCCACGTCAAAGCATGGCTTACCGAGATTCGGCTGGGACACGGCCATGGGCCTCTGGGGCACTGGTGTGGAAGTGGCGGCAGGATGAAGACTCATATGATTCAAGGGTTGATTCATCACCTTCCTAGGGTCTTGCCATGTGGTGATTTTTTCTATGTGACTAAAAGAAGGAAAACAATTATCTTTTCAATTTTCAGTATCGTTATCTTTATCACCATCACCAATAACAGCGCAGCAGTCCATGACTTTGGCTCTTCTTCCTTTAGGACCTGCTGCCGAGCAGCAGCTGACACATTGTACTTGGTTTCATCCACGGTCAGGTCACTTATCTAGCATCCAAACAGGGCTACACTGGGGATTTTGCAGTGACTCTGTGAACACAAGCCCATCATTAAGCTGTTCCAGATGCCCTTCTTAAAGGTAAAGCCTTACTGGGGACATACAAACCCCAGCAGTCCTCACCACTGCCCAAGGAGCCTGCATTCCCAGCTCCTCGGGGACATCATTGCCATCCAATTACTGGGACGCCATGGTGTGAGCTCCCGTCCAGAAGCAAGGCCACTAACACTCCCACACTCGCAAACGTATTTAATTAACACCACCTGTCCTCAGCCAAAGACAAGCTCCTTGAAACCAACCTCATGACATTGATCTTACTGCATCCTTACAAAGTAAGGCCTGTGAAATCCATTTTGGTGACACATTAAACCCTCAAGAGGCCTATGTTCTGCCGTGCACAGTCACAACTGAGTGGCTGAGCAAAGCAGCAGTAAGCACTAGGAAGTACAGGAGGGCAGGGCACCAGACTAAGGAGACACCTAGATGCTGAGGCACAGAGGCCTCTGAGGGAGAAAACGTTAGACTGAGTCGTACAACTACCGCTGTTGTTATTATGACCGTCCCAGAGAAAGTAGCACAATAAGCTTCTGCCCAGTTCCTGACATGTCCTTGGAAGGATGGACGGGCCGCTCTACCTAACTGGCTCCCAACCACATCACAAGTTGTTCTGGGTGCCCTGGTGCCTTATATGAACCCCGCACCACTCCACAACTCCATCTTTTTTTTTACATATGAGCATATTCACAGCCTTTTTTTAGGTACTATATCAGAGATTTTTCTATATTTATCAGAGACAGAAAACTGATAGCAGAAACTGAATGTCAGCCCTTTGTACTAGGCCTTACAATTGGTTGCACTTCCCAACCAGTTTGCAATGCCAACCCCCAGGCACTATTGACCCTGCTAGATGCACAGGGGGAAAAAGGTATTTTCTGTTGCTTGTTTCCACATTTATTTTTTACTTTTTTATTGATTTCAGAAAGGAAAGGAAAGGGAGAGAGTTATAGAAACATCAATGATGAGAGAGAATCATTGGTCGGCTGCCTCCTGCTGGGGATCCAGCCTGCAACCTGGGCATGTGCCCTTGACCAGAATCCAAACCAGGACCGTTCAGTTTCCAGGCCAACGCTCTATCCACTGAGCCAAACCAGCTAGGGCTACATTTATTTTTATTTTAAAATATATTTTTAATTAATTTCCAAGAGGAAGGAAGAGGGAGAGAGAGATAGAACCATCAATGATGAGGGAGCATTGATGGGCTAGCTCCTGCATGTTCCCTACTGGGGATTGAGCCCACAACCCAGGCATGTGCTCCCCACTACCACTGAGCAAGGTGGGCCTAGCTGCTAAGCTGTTTCCTCACAATTAAATGCTGCCACTGCCCCTGCTAAATCCTCTTCAGATTTCCCCATCCTAGACTGGAGGCTATATTGCCTTGGGGAACTCATCCATTCCCCTGATTGAAAAGTTGGATGTATCCCAAGAATACTTTCAATGAGTGTGAGTTTTAAAAAGGGGTTGGGAGGGGACGGGGAACCGCCTGGGGAAAAAGGTGGGACTTCTGCATTTCAGTACTCTAGGAGCCATTAGCAGTCTTCGAAGAAATCAATGATGAATTGGGAATAATGAAGTGGCTCAGTTGGTTGGAATGGCATCCCCTACACCAAAGGCTGTGTGTTGGATTCTAAGTCAGGGCGTTTATGGGAGGCAACTGATAGATATTTTTCACACTGATGTTTCCCTCTCTCCCTCCCTCCCTTCCTCTCTCTCTCTAAAGTCATTTAAAATAGATATATAAATATCCTCGGGTGAGGATTTAAAAAAAAAAAAAAAAAACACAAACACATCTTGTTAAGAAAATAAACAAAATAGAAGGGGAAGAGACTGAACTAAAGAGATCAGAATCCATTACCTAAGCATAAAAAAATGAAAAAGGAACAATGGTTTTAGTTACACCTTCAGTTTAATAATGTTTAAATTCTGTTTAAAGCTTTTCATAAAGTACTTTTGTCAACTTTAGGTTCTGTGGAAACTCATAGCCAGCCCCGGGGGAATGAGGAAAGGGGTGTATAACAGGCCTTTAGAATGAGAAAGCAATTGATGAGGATGCCAAAGTTAACTAACTTGCTTTAACAAAGGAATTAGAGCTAAGAAACCCTTTAACTATTCCTTCAGGACCATACTATTAAAACTTGTTTCCCAAGGTACGCAGATCCTGCATAAATACTTTCTACTCTGGTACCACAGGGGAGTAATCATCTACCATGAGCCTTTCTTAGACCCTCTGATACCATGAATAATGACGCTGTTCGAGAACCAGTATAAGCACAACCTGATAGAATGGACATGGAATGGTAACAGACATTAAGGACACTACTGTGGTCAGACACACTCAATTACCAGTCAGCAGTAGAAATAATACAGGAGCTAGAGTGATACACTCCCAAATGCGGGCCCTCCATTCTGCCATTCTGAACAAGTGGGCTGTGAGTCAACAATATTGTAATAACTATGTATGGTGCCAGGTGGTACTTGAAATATTGGGGGGTTGGGAATGGCACTTTGTAAAGTTTATTATTGTCTAACCACTATGCTGTATACATGCAACTAATACAAAATAATATTCAATGTAAACTGTAACTGAAAAGTAAAATACATTTTTTAAATAAAAAATTAAAAAACAAGTGGGCTGTGGCTCCAGGATCTGGGGAGAGCAGTGAGACCTGTACTCTAGTGGTGGATGAGCCCAGCTGCCTAAGAACTGCCAGTGAGCCTGGCCAGCCTCCTCCCCCTGGGACAGACACGCTGGCTCTCATTCCGATAGGTCTGACCCCAAAGATGTACAATGCACCCATGGCTTCAGATGCCAGAACTCCCCCAGGACTGTGGGAGCCTCCACAGCCCACTCTTCAAACTCTACACTCAGCCAATGCTTTTAAAGGAGTTTTGTTCCCAGTGGATTTGTTAATTAAAAGTGTCACTCATAGTATTTTCCAAAGACTTGAGTACAAGAGGGAGCCTTTCTTAAGTGAGCAGTTCTCACTGCTCTGAAACAACTCTGCAAACCATTCAAATTCTCAGCCACTACAGCCGGTGGACAGGACATCAGCTCTACCCTAAGGCTCAGCTTACATGATGATGTCCAGAGAGGCCTCAGTCTGAGTGCCAAATGGAAGGGCATTACTCACAAGTACTCATTAATTCATTGCTTATTATTTGACCTGAAAACTAAATTCTACAATGGTTCAAATAATTTAGTTTCCCTCACCCCAGTCCCAAACGTAGGATAAGCCATTCAGTCTTCCATGTGGCTATCTCATCTCAGCTCGCTCTCTGAGTTCTGAGTCATTTCCTTTCTCGTATTTGTGAGTGTAACCTTACTGCCTGCCAGGACCCACAGTTAACCAGATTAATCCCCACTCCGCTACTACTCCCACCTCTTTCCTGATTTCACTCCCTTGTCTACTGCAAGAAAATATCCCTATGCCATCGTTAAAAGTCTAATTTCTCGTCAAAATATCTATTATAAAAACATACATTTAAGAAGATAGCAAACTTTTATGCTGATATATGCAATGGCTCACTGGTGCTTTATCTAAATTCTTCTGAGCTTACCAAGTTTTAACAATGATTATCTATTGTTTTCATAACCAGTAAAACAAAAATACTTATAAAGTTACAAAATGACAAAAGGAAAATGATGCATATCTGTCTTCATGTGGTCAAAGGGAAATTGAATCAATTACCGACTCCATGTTGTTTATATAGAAAAAGAGTACAGATCCTACAAGAAAGAATAACTGACGCTCTCAGCACCCCCCCAAAAAAGGCGTTGTTGTTTTTTTCCCCCTAGACCAGTGGTTGGCAAACGGTGGCTCGCGAGCCACATATAGACAGCTCTTTGGCCCCTTGAGTGTGGCTCTTCCACAAAACACCATGTACCGGCGTGCATGTACAATGCGATTGAAACTTTGTGGCCCATGCACAGAAGTCGGTTTTCGGCTCTCAAAAGAAATTTCAATCATTGTACTGTTAATATTTGGCTCTGTTGACTAATGAGTTTGCCGACCACTGCCCTAGACTACAAAAAAAAAAAAATGCCTGCAGGGTTTCACTGAAGCCCTGCGTATGTGGTAGGAAAGGCGCCCATAACAAAGACAAGGGGATGGGATTTTCCTGTTCCTTTGAGAGTCTCTCTGACAACTACTTCCCAGGCTGACTTCTTTCAGTCACAGAGAGAACAAAACAAATCCTGGTCTCCAGCCACATCAGGAGCAAGTGCTTGAACCCCGTGCAGGCCCAGAAGAGTTTCAGCCCTCAGGACCAGCAACTGTCCCGGGACAAGAAATGTAGGCACTTCTCTGGGAAGATATTTGTCTGGAAGGTGTAGCTAATGGGAAACTGTGTTGTGTGAAATAATTTTTCTTTCTTGGACTAATATGTTCTTCAATAAAGACAGAAACTTATTTTATTAAGGAAATTCTGTTTGGAGTTAAAATGTCATTGAAATCAGCCGAAACCGGTTTGGCTCAGCGGTAGAGCGTCGGTCTGCGGACTGAAAGGTCCCGGGTTTGATTCCATTTAAGGGCATGTACATTGGTTGTGCAAGAGGCGGCTGGTCGATGTTTCTCTCTCGTCGATGTTTCTAGCTCTCTATCCCTCTTCCTTCCTCTCTGTGGAAAATCAATAAAATATATATATATTTTTTTTTTTAAAATGTCATTGAAATCAGCCCTACTGGGTTTGGCTCTGTGGGATAGAGCATGGGACGGGATTGAAGGGTCTAGGGTTCAATTCTGATCAAGGGCACATACCTCAATT